TATATACCTACGTGCGCATGTATGTGTATAGGCGTGTATCTGCTGGCAGAGAAGAGAGAGCATGGAGCCTTAAGAGCGTCTGTTTGTGCTTTGCAAGAGAAATGCAATCTCAAGCGGACAAGCCGTGGAGGTCAGCCCCATAGAACTCGGTACCTCGGTTACGGTGAACCAGGAGTTGGACGATGATTAGGCGGGATGGCGGACGGAAAGTTAGGATGGTTTGGCGGTTTATGCTACGTGGAGTGATGGAAAGATGGGGAGAAGGGGGAAGAGGGGGCGGAGGAGCGAGTGGATGTAGTGGGAAACTAGGCGAGATCTGGGGATTGGTACGCGCAATGGGCACATCGACGGGGTCGGCGGAAAGAAATCCGGCCCTTCTCTGTCCAGAAAGATTGTATAATTGGCAGATGTCGTTTGGCCGGCGAAAAAAATCGATGCATTTGGCTTAACCCCTGTGTCTGCCGGAGTGTGAGTGTGTGCGTGTGCATGTTGGGGTGTGTGCGCGTGTGCTTGCGTCCACAAAGCAGAAAGAGGGCTGAGAAGAAGGCGGTGAAGTGGAAAACGGTAAGAAGGAAAGGTGCAGCTCTGCATGTAGGCTCTGGACAAATGAATCATACATATGACGGACACACACGCAAATACACACAAACATGGAAAAGCACAAGGACACTCGTGGTTGCCAAGATATGCAATGAGGCTTAGTGACATCGGTGACACTCTGTCTCGTGCCAAAATGGCATAACTGTCGGGTATAAAGTTAATTCTGTCATTTGCAAGAAGCCCTCAGAGGGACAAGCGATGCCGGGGCGGCAAAACCAAAGGCAACAGCAACAATAAAAATATGAAGATAAGCTGGTTTTCGAAGAAACTTTTAGTAATAAAACGCCCACCAATATACCTTACAAAATCATGGGATGACTCATCAAAATGGCAAAAGTAGGTTTAAGTAGTGAGTAGGCTTGCAGTCGGCCACCATAACTCATGATTTAAATTCATTTTAAGTAAAGTTTCTCAACCTGACGATGTAAGTCGCATTACAGACGCAAGCATAGCACAGGTTCATCGGGCTCGCAGGAGGGTGAGCCGAGGGTGTCTTCGCACAATCCAGAAATCTCTCCTCCTCCGGTTTCCTGTGAGACCAATCCACGAATTCTTTCCAACCAACTTGTCCCTCGAAATGGAAAGTCATCTCACACTAGCAGTAATAATAACAGGTTTGCCGACCTATCACATGTGTACGTTTGAACACATTCCTTACACCCATTGTCCAAGGTACTGTCCGTAAATGGTAGGTCGATTTCGGATAGTAACCGGTTGTCAAGCAATCTCCGGATATACCATAATTGCTATTTCATGTAAAGATGTGTGAAGAAGAGATCATGTGAGTGTGTCATACAAATACAGAAACAGACACACTCACATGCATAGAAGTTGACATATGACCTTAACTAACCAAATCACTTTATACTTGATCAACAGAGTATATATACCACTTTTTAAGGATTTGCCAGTGAGTTTTTTTTGACTCGTTAGCTTGATTTTGGTTGTGACGATGATACCTTGCTCTGATGATGTTCGTCATATGACGGACGAAAGTTTAGCACGTTTTCACCGGAATCGAAGGAGATTGCCTCGGAAACAG